TAAAGCTCTCCGATACTAAGCAACTGGGTTCTGTTGTGACCGTGACCTTTCCGCTGGTAACCAGCTCCACCAGCAGCGCCATTTATCATTCTTTCAGTAGAACCGCGTCCGTCCAGCTTTCACATGGGTGCTAGGTCCAAACACTGTTCTCATGTGTGCATAGCAAGAACTCCTAACTGCAGAACCACCTATCACTTCTCTAGCCAGTGGCTGAGTTGTTGGGTTTTGTTTTATTTTTTGTCTGTGTGTGTGGCTGGGAATTAAACTTGGGGTGAGTACTCTACCACCAAGCTCTGTATTCCCAGTTCTCACTGCAGTGGGTTTTACATGTGGGTGTTTCTGCACGGGCAGTTGTGGACAGAGTGAGGGTGTGGAGGCAGAGAGGCTATTTATTCACTTATGTAGTTTCCTGGAGATGAGACAGGGGAGCCCAGAAAGAAGCCAATCTTGGCCATTCTGGACAGAGAGTGTGATGGGCTATTAAGGGCGGATTGGCATGGACAAGTGCGTGCTTTCACTGTAAAACAAACGGGGAAGAAGTAGGGAGTGAAAATTGAAGATTTAAGCCAGGCACAGCATGTGCCTCGAAGGCCAGCACTTGGGAGGTGAGGCCGGAGGGTCAAGAATTCAAGGTGAGCTCATGCAGGGTGGGGGTGAGGATGCAGGCATCATGGTAAACACCTTTATCCCAGCACTCTGGAGGCAGGGACAGGGGTTCTTCTGTGAGTTCCAGGCCAGTAGGGCTAGACAGTGAGACTTTGTCTCTAAAAGCAAACAAGCAAGCAAATAAATAAACGGAATTGGTGGGGACTGGAGAGATGGCTCTGAGGTTAAGAGCACGCCCATATAAAACGGCAGAACACCCATTTTCCCAACACCCATGTTGTGTGGCTCACAACCACCTGTAGTTCCAGCTCCATGGGATCCGATATCCTCTTCTGACCTCTGCAGATAACTGCACTCTCACCCACACAGATACACATGCATACATGTAATCTAAAATAAAAATAAAAAAGAATTCCGCCTCTCCAGGTCCTACTGTCTTTCGGATTATTGGTGTGCACTACCACACATGGCTAATCTAACACTGAATAGCTACGTAACACGGAATTACCTAGTAAAGTCATTTTGTAGATAGATATGGCAGCTGTGTCTAGCAGAGAACAAAAACTGTGATCTTCAGGGTGTGTGGCAGGGCAGGAATTCTGTGTTCCTATCGGACAGGAGCCACAGCACGCAGCCTGCAGAGCGGCCAGAAGGTGACTGCCTTCTATCATGGCTTCAGATCTCCCGGCACACTTGCAGGCAGCCCCCCCCCCACCCACTGTACCATCCGACCTGCTGGGCTGAAACTCGGCATCTGCACCTGGCTGAGCACTCGAGCAGAACAGTCCTGCTTCCTAAAACGGGTTCTCAATTCTGGGTCCTGCATCTGATGAGAGGCACCAGGGCATCACCTCCACCCTCAGCACCGTACAATGCTACCAGTGCTCAGGACCTCTGCTGACGGTGTCACAGTCAGCTGAGGGGACAAAGGGGTTGAGGAGGAAGGACAGAGGCCTTCCCACATAAACATTCCCAAGGTACTGGGTAAGAGGTCTGAATGCCCTTTGGTGCAGGAACACCTACCCCATCCCTGGGGAATGAGTCTGAGCCCTGAGCACACAGGGTCCCTGTGTCTGGCGAACAGACATGTGGAATTATGTCTGCCCAAACTGTCTACCAGCCTGCGGAGGACAGGATTCTGACAGAAGCTGTAGGAGCAAACAAAGGGAGCGGCCACAATTTTGCAGGAATGACTAGAAAGCAGCAGCTGTATCTTCCCAGAAAGCAAACTCCGGTCCCTGTGGCACTTACAGACCTGAGCAGGGGTGTGGAGGACAAGCGACTGCCCTCCAAACAGCAGTCTTTTTATTGGGATAGTCACGTAGTCAGGATTTAAAGAGATCAACAACTGTACCACTGGGCCCAGAATCCTGGGGCTGCTCCTTCCAAAGAGCAGGTTCCTATCCCAGTCTCAAGCTGGGTTATCCTTGCCCGATGACTCTCCAAGTTCACCAGAGCCCATTTTCCAATGTGTGGTAGGGACGAGCAGATGGGGATGGCTCTGCTGCCCTCTGCTGTTAAAACATGGTCACTCATCCACATGGGAGTCAAATTCTCCAGACAACCGAGCGAGCAATACCACTAGAGTGTTTATTTCTAGTGTTCTCAAGCTGCAGGTCAGTACTGCACAATAGGCCGCAGTCCCTTGGGACAGGGCACAGGAGACACAGGCAGCCTGTCCTGGTACTAAGGGAATGGAAACACACACTTGGCTCAGTGTAACAGATGTGAGACCCCCTGACCAGGGGACTCTTGAGAGGGGGAAGACAGACCTAAAGCCAGCTGTGGTGAACCCTCCTCCCTCATGACCCTGACATATACCCAGTTCATGACTATCATTTTCAAGCTCTTTTTTTTTTTTTTTTTTTTTTGGTTTTCGAGACAGGGTTTCTCTGTGTAGTTTTGGTGCCTGTCCTGGATCTTGCTCTGTAGACCAGGCTTTAGCCTCTACCTCTGACCCATACACAGTTGGTGTTAACTGAATGCCTGTTGCTGAGGATGCTAGATCCTCAACAGCCTCAGGGAAAGCTCAGCATGTATTTACTGAGTACCTACTGCAGTCTAGATCAGCAGTTCTCAACCGGTTGGTCACAACCCCTTTGGGGGCTGCTATCAGATATTTACATGATGACTCCTAACAGCAGCAAAATTACAGTTCTGAAGTAGTAACAAATTAAGTTGATGGTTGGGGTCTCCACACCATGAGGGAGGTCTTCAAGGGTCGCAGCAGTGGGAAGGTTGAGAACCACTGCCCTAGGTGATGGGGAAGGACAGTGAGCATGTCATGGCTACTGGACTCTGGAGTTACACCTTACAAAGAGACACTGACTCACAGCCATGAAATCACTAATTACACTGAAGCCCGCAGCATTCATGTTGCAGCCAGGGATGTGTCACTAAGGCAAAGACTAAATTATTCTCACTCTTATGTCTGCCCACTGATGTATTCCAGGGCCTAGGACAACGCTTGGCCCCAGTAATTAACATTTTCCTGGATGAGTGACTAAATGAGCACACATGAACATGACAGCTCTCAGGTTGGGGCTCCTTGTTCTGCCCGGGACACTTGGGCTCACTGAAGCTACTAAATGTGGGTCCTGACCACGGGGATTCTCAGCATAGGCTTCCACTCACCCCAACTCCAGCTGACTGGGCTGCGGCTGCTCCTGAGACTCTGGACTCCCCGACTCCTTTCCCGGGGATTATCCTTTGTCCCAGCTCTGGGAGGCCTGGGTGTCCTCTGACCCAGATGGGCAATTTTCATAGACAGCTCTAGTTCTGGAGTCTGCTCTGTTATGGGAGCTCACCTATGGGCCCCGTGAGAGCCCGGAGGGCCTCAGCAGAGCTTCAGGGTCTCGGAGAGTCACCCTGCGGTGTGGGAAGTGTAACAACAGCTAATGGGTGCACACATGTGGTGCTATAGCGCATGGTGGGTGCTTCTTCATAGTTTCAATTAAGCCAAGATCCTAAGTTCCCTTTGAAAGGTACAAGGAAACAGCTGTTCTGCAGCTGGGCCCTGGGATGCAGGGCATAACCTGAATATAAAAGAAAAAGTCTCAGCTGGGTAGTGGTGGTACACACCTTTAATCCCAGCACTCAGGAGGCAGAGGCAGGCAGATCTCTGTGAATTCAAGGCCAGCCTGGTCTACAGATTGAGTTCCAGGACAGCCAAGGCCACACAGAGAAACACCAAGAATAAAAAAAATAAAAAGAAGAAGAAGAAGTCGTCATCTCTGGGAGACAACTAACCATCTTGTGACCAGAAGCAAAGTAATTCCTCTTCTGAACAGAATACCCACTTTATTGCTAGAAAGAAAAAAAGATATCTCTGTATTTGTCGTAAAACAAATTTCCTCCTACTGGGTGCCTCATTCTGCCTCCGTGTGAGGGTCTGTGCCTAGTTATGCTCCACTCTGCTGATATCCCTAAGAGGCCTACTCTGTTCTGAAGGGAAAGGGGGGAGCGGCAGATCTGGGGGAGGGTGGTGGGGGCTGGGAGGAGGGAGGCTGCAGTCAGGATGTATTGTGTGAGAGAATAATTAAAACAACAGAACAAACAATTTGGCTAGATCCTGTGACCAGATCACACCAGAAGCACCCACCTCGACCCCAGGCATAAAGAGCTGACACTAGAATAGTGAGTTATTTTGTCTACTCTCTTCTTCCTCCTCCTCTTCTCCCCTCTGAGGCCCAAGCTCAGCCATACTCTCACTTGGGCCATCCTCTGTGGCTTGGAGTGAATGATATAACAATCGGTCTCAAGTGAAAACCTTTGCTTAGTCTACCCAGGAGTTTTTGAAAATTTGAGCCCAAATTTGGAATGTATGTATGTGATTTACATACAAATCTAGACTTTCGCTTCTTATGCCCATGAGGGTTCATGTTCCCATAGGGCGGTGACTCCTGGGCCAGATACAGAGGTGGGCCACACACTCTTCAATCTTCCTTGACCCACAGGACCCGAACAAGCTCCCACTGGGCCACTGCAGAATCCTCCTCCTTGCAGATCTTGGAGATAAACTCTGGTAACCCACTAGATGTGAGGACACAAGCAGTTGGATGACATGGCTACCTGAGTTCATGTCATCTGCCTTAAAATAGAGAGGCCTGTGGCCCTGTGCGGATGTGTACTGCACTGGATAAGAAGATGGTGACCTTGCTCGGAAGGACATTCCATCACTGTAGGGCAGTGTACACCGGCTGGGCCAAAGCAGCTGAAGGCAGCTCTAGTATGGCTTGCCCGAACTGCCCAGAGCTAAAGGCAGTGAAGGGAGGTTCTGAAATCAGGTCGGAGGCCACCAAGACTAGCCTTTCAGCAGACCTGTCGCTGAATACAGCCAAGCACATCTGTGTCCAGAGCCCCAGCTCAGCGCTCAGCAGCAGCCCGTCCAAGCATCCTCCCCTGCTGTATGGCTGCAGGAACTATCCAAAGTGACCTTCAAAGGCAAGCCCAGCTCCAATTCCCTTCAGGTTCTGGGAGTCTGAAAGCCAGGGTCACTTCATCTACGAGGCCAGGCTGTCGGCAAGCTTTCTCATGTAAGCTTCACTGCCCTCTGGCTAATTGTCTCCCCTTTAAAAAGACATTTTGGAAGGCAAACAATGTCTGCTTTAGTCATAGGAGGCCATCATCATGGGTCATCATTAGGAAGATGACTTCATTGCATTCTCCTTCATTAAACTGTGAGTCTTTCTTATATTTCCTGTAGCCAGCTAGGTGTTGTGGCAGGGAATCATAGTCCCCACAACTTCCTCAAGACATTACAACAGGGCTCCCAGTACCTGCATGGCCTTGACCTCAGGGAAGTCCCCCGCAGAAATCTGGTATTCTCGCTGCAGCTGAACATAGATTTCTGGAAGCCTGTAGATAAGTTCTCGCTTCTTATTTTCTTTTCCAAACATATTGGGCATTTCCTTCTTCAGGTAGCTGATGATGTAGGCATGTACCTGAGGGGGATATGTCAGGTGAGTACACACCACACTACTCGAGAGAAGAGATAAATGAGACGAAACACATTCCCATGCAGAACTCTGGTCCTCAACCACAAGAGAAGGTGAGGATCCAGGAACCAGGCAGCCTAAGGGGAGCTAGAATGTACTTCCAGAGCTCCAGAGAGCTGGCCTGACCAGGTAAACTGAGAGCTGGACTTGAGGAAGGGCCAGAGGGACTGGATGTGCTGAGGCCACACAGGGACGGTGAGCGGGGAGAACCCCAACATCAAAGGCTGGGTAAGGGGGAGGGCCCAGAATGTGACAGTCAAGGGATATGGCATGATGACAGGGCAAGGGAAGAGGTGACATCTGAGTTGGGCCTTGTGAAGAACAGCAGAAGACGCGGTGAGTGGGGTAAGACAGGGCGCTAACAAGCTGGGGTGTATTTGGGGTGTATCACACACATGGTCGGGGGTGGGAGAGGTGGGCTGCATCCAGACCTTGCTTAGCAGGCATTAGGAGCCCCTGGAGGATTCGCAGTGAGGCTTTGCTCACCTAACGCCTGCACTAATGAAGGTTCTCCAGGGTCGGTCGGGAAGTCAGAGGAATGGTGACTGGTGTGAGACTTGGCTGAGAACCAGGTGGGGTGAGGTGAAGTTGCAGAGAATGTCCTTGGGGATTGCATCCTCAAGTCTACTCCCAAGAAAGGGCAACTAACGGAAGCCTCTGAGTGGTGACTCTGGTGTCTGGGCAGGAAGCGGGCAGACCCCGAGTAGGGAGGATCTCCACTGTGACTAACCAGAAAATGTAGAGAAAGTTTCACCTGTGGCCTGTGGGCACCAGGAAGTGAAACTGGAGGCTGACTGTAGTTTATCTGTACAGGAACAGTGCGCACTGAGCAACGAAGTAAGAACGATCACTGGGCATACCTCGATGGGCAGGATGCTGAGGCTGAGGTATTCGTGAGTGGCACTCATCATTTCTGTATGAGACCAGCTGCACTGGACCAGCTGGATGGAAAGCTCTCTCTGGGGAGGAAACCCAGACACAGGAGAGGGAAGCTCTCAAACCCCTAAGGGCGAGCAGTCTCCCCAGGAGGGTACTGTACTGTCTGGCCTATGGCACGTCCTTCCCTCAGCTTTTCCCTTCTTCCATTTACTTCCTATTTCAGGTTAGTAAGTGTGTTCACTACCAACGTTTTCTTTACAGGACTTCAAATCTACAGAGTAATTCAGAAGCCAAATAAACAGCTAAAATAGGGAAGGATGACAAACAGCAATGATTTAAAAAATAAAACAGCTATGTAGCCTGGAAATTGCTGCTAAGAAAGCAGATTTCATTAGAGTCTTCGGGAAGAAGGAAGTCGGAGAGAGTGAGCAGAGACATCCCACAGCTCGGCTGAGGGCCTCTGGCTGTGCACACATACGGGGTGGGGCCAACAGCATTTGAACAGTAACGCCATCACGTGTGCTGTGCAGAGGCCATCTGAAAATGTGCACATGTTGGGCTGTATGGCTGTCGCTTAGGGACCAACTTCTTAACAGGTGGTCAACTGAATGTAGGGGCTATGAAAAAATTGACAACTGTTAAAGCTTTCTGAATGCACAGCCACCAAAGATGAACTCGAAATCAAGCTTGTAATGAGTCCGTGGTGTTTCCCACTTGCCCCGTGACACAGTGTGACTTCACAGCAGCTTCCTTCACACAGTACAACATGTGTACCTTGCACTGCGCATCACGTCACACCATGTGGTGCCAATCAACTGTCTGAAATACCTCTGTTCAGACTGAGACTGTTGCTTGTGGGTTTATGGTAATACATTTTGTGCAGTTAATGCTGGGTATGGTAACTCATGTCTGTAATCTCGGCCCTTAGAAGCTGAGTCAGGAGGCCTGCCGTGGGTTGAGGCCAGCCTGGGCTACACAGTGGGTTCCAGGCCAGCCTGGGCTACACAGTGGGTTCCAGGCCAGCCTGGGCTACACAGTGGGTTCCAGGCCAGCCTGGGCTACACAGTGGGTTCCAGGCCAGTCTGGGCTACTGAGTGAAACCTATCTCCCACCTGCCTTCCCTAAAAAATAATTCTGTAATAAGCCCGAGATCCAAAAGGTAAACCCTTAGGTGAAAAAAAAAATAAAGTGAGACTGAGAGAGAAGCAGCCAAGTCCTACTGAACAAGAGTTTGTTTATTCTGTTCGGATCAAAGCTGGTACCCAAACCACGTGTGATTCTAGCAGTCTTAACGAGGACTTACAGGGGCCTTTAGAGGCATCTGAGGTCAGCCTTCAGAGAGACAGGTTTCCATATATAGGCCTGAGCACTGACATCCACAAAGCCCAGGCAGGGACGGAGCTATTTTTAAGCCTTGCAGTGGATAATCATTAAAGGGCTCATCACCACACACTGCACAGCCATTCTCACACTCTTCAGCCTCTATCTGCCTGATGAGCTACAAAATGCCGAACTTCTCCAAAAAGGAATTTGACACTGCAAACAGGAAAGCTAGGCCCCACACATCACATGTGACTAAGAGGAAAAGAGGTCTCTGACGAGCAAACTCAATTCCACAGAACTCTAGTGACCCCCGAAAGTCCCTGAGCTCCTCTCCTTCCCCACGGCTCCTTCCTCAAAAGCAGCTTTGTTTCCTTGTGGAGGGAAGATTTCCAAACGGGGGTGGGGGGTAGGGGGGGGAGGTGGGGGCCTTTCCTGACCTTGTGAGGACGGGCTCGGAGAGTGTGCACTTGCCTCCTTTTGAATTGTTCATCTATCCCGTACGGAAGACTGAGGTCCACACGGGTTTACAGAAGAATAAAACTAAGTTCTATTCCCAGACTCTTATGTGGGCTTTCCTAAAACAGCTTTCTCTGAAGAATCACGCAGTAAGCTTTGACTGGCGTCTCAGAGCAAAGAGACTTCTTTCTGGCAGGCCACCTCCCAAGACAAAAGGTGAGGAGGCGAGGAGCCTGACCCAGAACACATGAAGGCCTCTGTTCCTTAGAAGACACCTTTGAAAGCATCCAAATAGAAAAGACAGCAAAATTACCCAATCTCCAGGCTTTTTGTTTGTATTATCAGAATCCCATACTACTGTGAGAGTGGTTAAAATAAAACACAGGCTGCAGAGCCCCAAGGAAGCCAGGCGAGGACCATGGGACATTTAAAGCACTCAGAAGATGTGTAGATCTACTAACACACTGATTTGGGACTTCTGGTCTGTAGACTATGAGAGAATTTATGTCATTCAGCCTATGGTAAAGCAGCCACAGGACATTTATACATGCTATCTAATCCAGCCTTTTCTCACCCCTTAGTCTGGTCCTCTGTGTAGACCTTTTTCTTCTTTTCCCCCATGCTGGGGACAGAAGCCAGGACCTTGAGCACGCTAGAGAACTGCTCTACCACTGAGGCAGACCCTCGGTCCTTGGTGTTTGCTCCCTCATTGTATAGTCCTGGTGGCCTTAAGCCTGTGATCGTCCTGTCTCAGTCTCCAAACGCTGGGATGACAGGTGTGTGCCATCACTAGTTCACTGGGTACCTCTCGATGTGAACTTAAAACTGGTCATTGCCTGGCCCAGCAGCAGGCGCAACGGGCACTGCACCTGTGGGTGGTCTTTACTTATAAGGAGTTCAAGTCTGGGGTGGGAAGAGGAGTGAAGGGGAGGGATGGGCTGACGTCCCCCTGAGAAGGCTGGAGAGATGGCACTTGCTGCTGAGAAGGTCATTGTTCAGACTTTTCCATGTCGTTATGCATGTCAATATTCACTCTTCTCTGTTACTGAGTACCGTCTCATTACATACACGAGCCACATTCTGGCTGTTCTAAATGAAACTGCTATGAGCTTTTTTTAAAAAAACTGAGGATATAGTTGCTTTCCTCAGGTGGGCCATGAATTCTGTAACTGTTATCCCATCAGCTCACTCCGATCTCATATCTCTTAGGTGATATCTGGGAACTTATCCTTCATATATTTTAAAGTGTCCCTTGTAGGTTTTCTGCGGATAGAAAATTTTCTAGAATAAGTGGAATTACAGATTAATATATAAAGCAAGAGTATAAAGTAAGGAGATATTGCAGATGCTGTTTACATTGGATATAAATCAGGACTTTCTGGACCAAGCAGACTACTTGGGCTTGGGATGTGTATTCTGTAATATTCCCAGCTGTGAATCAGTTCCAGGAAGTATTGTCTTTCTGAATGTCAGGCTTTCATGTATGAAGTAAGGATAAGGATGCCCAACTGTCAAGTAACTGACATACACAATCAAGCAGACGGTTTGGCTTCTACAGCACTTGAAGCTGCAAAAGGAAAACTGCCAAGGGAAAGATGACCCAAACAAAAGCATTATAAGGAAATATTAGCCATCCAAAGCGAGAGACTCAGTGGTTTCTTGCCTTCTCCTTCTCCACATTTATTTTTGTTTGTGGCTTTTCTGTTTGTTTGTTTGTTTGTTTTAGGACAGGATCCCACATAGCCCACATAGCTAGCCTCACGCTTACTTTGTAGCCGAGGATGACCGGGAGCTTCTGAGCCTTCTGTCTTGCTGGGACACCACAGCTGGTTTGTGCAGTGCTGGGGATCAAGTCTAAGGCCCTGTGCATGCTGGACAAGCACTCTACCCCCTGAGCTACCCCCCAGCCTGCTCCCTGCTTCTTTAAGAACAATGAGTGACAGGCTCAGAAGTGGAACACAGACCTGCAGCTGGAGGACTAGGGGCCCAGCTCCCCAGAGCACCCACTCAGCGCTGCCATGTTAGGGGCCGAGGCCATTGTGTTCAGTTCTGCTTCTTAGCCAGCCCAGGCAGCTTCCTGTCCTAATGCTCGGCTGGCATTGTGACACACCACGTGTAAATGGAACTGGGGAGCTGGTGATGGAAGTAGATGGGCCTCAGACATCTTCCTGTGGAAAGGAACAAGCCCGATACTATTCTTAGGAAGAAAAGAATATGCTGTTTCTTTTCCTATAAGTAAGCTCAGCACATTTGACCATCCGCCCCCCACATCTGCACAAGGGTTTTCATTATTCAGTGTCAGAACACAGAGGCATTTTGTGTCTCACGAACCTAGGCCATGCTGGAAGGGCAGGGAGCAGTACAGGCTGTGGTGCTCAGCATCTCTCTAGTCATAGTCATGCTCATATTCATTCATTCATCCTCTCTCTCTCTCTCTCTCTCTCTCTCTCTCTCTCTCTCTCTCTCTCTCTCTCTCCAGCTCTCTGTTCATATTCATTCTCATTCCTGTTCCCCTCCACCTTTTTTTCTTTTTCTTTTTTTTTTTTTGAGACAGAGTTTCTCTATGTAGCTTTGCGCCTTTCCTGGAACTCACTCTGTAGGCCAGGCTGGCCTCAAACTCACAGAGATCCGCCTGGCTCTGCCTCCTGAGTGCTGGGATTAAAGGCGTTCGCCACCACCACCACCCGGCCCTACCTTTTTTTCTATGACTGAAGATATATTCAGTCACTGGCCCCTTAGCAGTGACTGGCAAATTTAAAATGTCCATGGACACGAAATTCCATGAAATTCGCAAAGTCTACGGGAGCTACTAGCTTTGGTTAGAAAATAATTTAGGCTAGCCATGGTGTGGTGGCGCACGCCTTTAATCCCAGCACTCGGGAGGCAGAGGCAGGTGGATCTCTCAGTTAGAGGCCAGCCTTGTCTAAAGAGCAAGTTCCAGGACAGCCAGAGCTTCACAGAGAAACCCTGTTTCGGAAACAAAACAAAACAACAACAATGACAAAACTAATTTAGACTTTTCTATACCCTGAAATTAAATTCATTTATAACAGCTAGAAAAGAGAAATACCATGGCCAAAGGGTCACTGAACAGGCAAAGCCAGACGGACTTCCTGCCACCCTGCATGAGGCCCAGGGTAGTGGGGCTTTCAGGAGAGCTGCAGGTAAGTGGTTCCACAAACTAGTTAGAGTAACTAACTGCCTTGGAGGACTGAACAACATGG